CTAATAGAAACAGGCTGAAGAATTAAAACAGTAAAGCTCTTTTAAATCTAATTCTGGGAAAGCAACTGACTTCACATATGCCTTAAGATAGGAAAGTATGTATATTAAAATAACTAACACTTACAACTTCCTTTTAATATAGTTCCCTTAACTATAAGGTACTACTTCAACAAACATTTCCACTTTCACAGCCTATTTTTGTTGTTGGTGGTGGTGATGGTGGTTGTCATGGGGCTTGAACTTAGGGCTTGGGCACTGTCCCTAAGCTTTTTTGCTCAAGGCACACTCTACCACTTGAGCCACAATGCCTCTTCCAGCTTTTTCTGTTTATGTGGTACTGAGGAATCGAACCCAGAGCTTCATGCATACTAGGCAAGCACTCTGCCACTAAGCCACATTCCCAGCCCACAACTCAACTTCTTAAGTAGTGGGTGTTACTCTCTAGCTGCTAGAGAAGGGTAAAGTCCTACATATCTGTAGTTTGAAAACCAGTCATCTCCAACAGGCTAGCTAAATGTGTCTTTTATATTACTTTGAGATAATAAAATCCTCTTCTCCAGTATCTGCCTTCTAGCTATTTTACCTAGACAATGCTTGGACTATCATAGGCATTCTATGAATAGCTGTCAAATAAAGCTGTAATTGCTCCCAGAAAATAATGACAAAGCAATACACCTCAGAGTAGTTTTTCCTATTGGGTTGAGGCAAAAGGAGCTGTGGCTGGTAGGACCAGGGAGTCAAATTTGTCATTATTATTGAGGCCTTGGATTATTATCTAAGAGCTAGCAGGCCAGATGGATTTAGAACAGCCTTTTGTATCATCATGTGTGGAGAATGGATGATTGGATGGTTGCTTATAGATACGAAGAAGCCAGTGAGATCCAACTAAGAGATGGTGGTCAACTCAGGATAATGGCAGAGATGGAGGCAAGAGGACATTTAGTAGGCCAAGCTGAAAGAAGAATCGAGAAAGAGGCCCATGTTGACTGGCCGGGCCCCTAAGGAGCAAACTCACAACAGGAGACTCCACAAGAAGGAAGCCCCTTTTAGATATGGTAAACTTGAGGCTTTTATGAGAGATTCCATGAGAGAGGAACTAGTGGAAAGCATCTCTTCTATTTACTTCTGAGAGTTAGGAGATTTAGTTATATAAAAGCTCTTCAGAGGCCAGGTGCAGGTGTCTCATATCTGTCACCCTTGCTATTCAAGAGCTGAGGTCTGAAGATCACAGTTCTAAAGTCTGAGACTCTTATCTGCAATTAATGAGCAAAAAGCCAGAGGCTGAGCTGTGGCTCAAGCAGTAGACTATCAGCCTTGAATGGAAAAGCTAAGGGAGAGTGCAAGGACCAGAGTTCAAGTCCCAGTATTGGCAAAACAAAAACCAATGTTCTTCAGAATAGGCCTGGTATGTTGTGTGTACTCAACCAGAATCTATGATTACATTTTAAACTCAGCATCATCACTGATGACCTGTGATGAGAAGAACAGAATCTTCCTAATACAGGAAGTAAGGGTGGTGATATGGACTGTTACAAAGAACTGCCAATTGGCTGAAAGACTAGGTGTAGTACAGCATGAATATTGAAGTTTATTGAAATAATAGTTCTATGATTTTAACAGGCATGCCTCAAAACAAAATGCAGGGGGAGAGTTTGAAAAAGCTACAGGTTGGCTCAATGGTCAAGAGAATATTTGCCTAGCATGCATGAGGCCTATGATCTGACCCAACACCAGAAGAGAAAGGGCTTAAAACTCAGGCACTGACGACTCACATCTATAATCTGCTAGGATTCCACTCAGCAGATTGAGATCTGAGAATCAAAGTTCAGAGCCAGCCCAGGCAGACAAATCCAACTCATCTCCAGTTAACCAGCTAAAAACTCTTGAGGTGTAACTTGAGGTGTAACTCAAGAGGTCGAGTACCAGCCATGTGTGGAAAAGCTAAGCAAGAATGTGAGGCCTGGTTCAGTACTGGCAGTGGGGGATGGAGAACTTATAAAGCTAGGCACTGGTGGCTCACGCCTGTAATTCTGGCTACTTTCAGGAGGCTGAGATCTGAGGATTGAGGTTCAAAGCCAGCCTGAGCAGGAAAGACTGTAAGACTGTTATCTCCAATTAACCCCCAGAAAACCAGAAGTGGCACTGTGGCTCAGCACTAGCTTTGAGTGAAAAAGCTCAGGTACAGTGCCCAGGCCCCGAGTTCAAGCCCCATGACCAAAAATAAATAAATAAAGGTATAATTTTAACTTAAAGTGATTTATCCTCATTTCCATGATGAAAGCTAGCTAATCAAGACAAATATTGTTAAATATCCAAGCATAGTGGCATGCAACTGTAGCCCAGCTACAAGGGAGGCTGAGGCCAAGAGTTCAAGACCAGCCTAGGCAACATAGTGACACCTCACTTCAAAAAACTTTTTTTAAGGAATGTACTCATTAGCTTGCTCATGTAACTATAACCCCTCTGGACAGTATTTTCACAATAAAAAAAAAACATTAAAAAACTAAAAAAAAAATTAAATAAATTTGGGCTAAAGAAACTGATTTCTCAAAAAGGAACAGCGATACTTCCTTTTAATCGAAGAAACCACTCTCCTCACAGAAGGATGAGTTGCAGATATGCTTAAAGTAAAATGAGTTCCTATCAGTGCTATGGGTAATAGTGGGAGTGCAGACAGAGTGAGGGTGAATATCTTCAAAACTACTTGTGAGCATGTGTACAAATGGAACAATGACACTGGTTGAGATTGGTTGGGGAAGGGCGGGGTTGGGAGAGTGACGAAGGGGGTGAGTGTAATCAGGCACATTGTATGCCTATAGGGACATGCCAGAATGAGCCCCCTTGTACAACTCATGGATGCTAATAAAAAATGGTGGGAAAAAATGAAAGTCTTACCAAGTCATGAATATGACACATGCTTTTGAACTGGCAGCATCCTAGAAAACAGTATTTTAATCATTATAAATGATAAAGTGCTTTTAGTAGAACATATGGGATACTTATATGGAGAGTTTGAAAAAGCAGGAGTTGGCTCAGTACTTAACATGCATGAGGTCAATGCTCCGACCCCAACTGAAGAAATAGGGCTTAAAATCCAGGCACTGATGCCTCACATCTATACTCCTAGCTACTCAGGAGCTTGAGATCTGAAGGTTGAGTTAAATTATACAAATTACAACCAGTCTGTGCTTGCTGAATGCATGTGATCTTTAATAATCAGAACAGTTCAGCGAGTTTTCTGGATTATGTTTCAAACAAAAATTGGCAGATAACCCACATATTAACAGTTTTGCTGTAATTTTTTATATTAGTTATTTTATATTTAAGGGTCAAAATACATTAGGATCACAAAATAACACTTTGTGAATGTTAACCAGTTTTTTTTTCTAATTTTCTATCCCTTCAATAAACAAACACTCCATTCTGGTCATTCACGTTCATCTACATCACTGAAAATAATCAAAGATGATGATTCACAGTCTCACCTCTACGTAAACATTCTACTTGACTCGAGGCAAAAGACCATCTTGTTCTAGAAACCTGTACATCAAGCTCTCAACTCTTAAAACTGAGCAAACATGTTCCAGTGTGGTCACTGTCACTAGGAGTTTGTTTTCCCAGTTCACAGCCACATTTTTGAACATGAAATGTGGATATACACACATTCTGATAACGTGGGAGCTAATCCTCATATCAAAGAAAAAACACAGAAGACCTTATATTTCAAAAGCACAACTAAAAGACTTGACCACATAGACCCATCTCCTACATCTTTAGTTAAGGACATTGTCGCAATTACAGGGTTTGAGGCAGTAGTCTATATAAGCATGTGATTGCCAAAGAATGCAGTGCACTTACTACCATCAGCTTACATCGTACCATGCTGTAGGATTCTTTTTTGCCTTTCCCCCAAAGTAATCGTGCTCTTGAAGTAACAGGCTTTTTTAAGGCACATTTTAACAAAAACTCATCACATAGCCAGCATAAAAATGGAAGCTCAACCTGGTAATAATGTGTGTATATACACACACACATATACATAAAATTAGGTTGTCAGATAGACAAGTGTCTCTAACTTGAGGGTAGTCATCTTAAAAATTTGAGTCATTGGTTGCTTATTCAAAGAGAAATGTCTGTAAAAATATTACATATTTATAATTACACACACATCCAGACCTGTCGGCAAAAAGTCCAACAGGTGATAGCTGTGTAAATGGGAGAAAAGACCTCTGGAACCCTGTGGCTCCTCCCCCCCCCCCCCCCCTGCCCCCCCCCCGCCCTCGGGCTTCCCTGGAGTCCTGCTCCTAATTATCTCTTTAATATCTCTTTATCTTCCAGCCCCTGCTTCCTGACCGGATG